TAAAAAACCAAAAAGGGAAGACGATGGGAATCCGGATTTTTTCCTCCTTACAGCAAAACATATTTACAAACATATTACTATAGAAAATATTCAATGTTCGTTCTGAAAGAACAGAAAACTGACTTATTATTATTTACATGTAGGAAAATAATAATATTTCTCTAAATTGTTATTAGAATGTGGGCGGCACGGTGGTGTGGTGGTTAGCACTGTTGCCTCACAGCAAGAAGGTATACTTCATATTATGAACAAAGTTATGAACCTGAAATATTACTTCATAAGACATAGCGTTACATTTAGTGTATTATAGACTAACTATACAGAGAACTAAGGTGAGGAGAGAGGAAACAGGAGGGAGGAAACAGGAACATGGAGGTTTAGATGTGTGGACTCGATGGTCTTTTATTAAAACAAAAGGTAACAGGAAGCAGCAACTTGTGACTATTAAATGTGGGCAAATGAAACGCTGATGAAGACCTCTGAGGACGAAGGGACGGATGGACAAAGTGGACATTATGAAAATGAACTCAAACAGTGAGTGTTATACAGAATTACTTCAATATCTCACATTCATTCTTGTTATTAAGAAAATAAGTGTTTTACTAACCAGACATGTGATCCACACTCCGCACCGGCTGGTGGCGATGACGCGCCGATTATTGATCATCTACCGCCGACAAACTTAAAACAAGAAGAAGAAGAAGAAGAAGCAGGAGAAGAAGGAATAGAAGGAGAGTCGCAGAAAGTCTCCTGAGTTTCACTTTAACATCTTAAAGTTTGTCTCTTCTTTTAATATCTTTTCTTAACTTTTAAAGGAGTGAGGACAAAGGTCGGTACTCAGAGGCAAAATACAAGTTTAGCAAGGCGGTGAGAGATGCTAAATGACTGTACTCTGAGAACTCCAACAACAGTTCTCAGTAAGTGACTCTGCTTCAGAGAGGCCTCAAACACCTCACCAACTACAAGCCAAAAAAACCCCACTCCATGAATGACCTCCGCCTGGCAGACGAGCTGAATGAGTTCTACTGCAGATTCGACAGACATTGTCCTCATCCCATCCCACACAGCTCCACCAACCTGGTAAAACCTGTTTGTGCCCCTTCCATCTGGCAGGAGGCTGAGGTCTATCAGGACTAAGACCTCCCGCCACACCAACAGTTTCTTCCCGTCGACAGTCGGGCTCATCAACAGAGCCGGTCCCCCACTGACTGACTCTGACATTCCACCGGTCACTCCCCTTCATACAACTCTGCAGTGGCAAAGCCCCGGGGATTGATGAGATACGTCCAGAGATGCTAAAAGCAATGGGTGTTGGGGGGTTGTCTTGGATGACACGCCTCTTCAACATTGCGTGGAAGTCTGGGACAGTGCCAAAAGAGTGGCAGACCGGGGTGGTGGTACCTCTCTTCAAAAAGGGGGACCAGAGAGTGTGTGCCAATTACAGGGGTATCACACTACTCAGCCTCCCGGGTAAAGTCTACTCTAAGGTGCTGGAAAGGAGGGTTCGGCCGATAGTCGAACCAAGGATTGAAGAGGAACAATGCGGTTTTCGTCCTGGTCGTGGAACAACAGACCAGCTCTTCACTCTTTCCAGGATCATAGAGGGGGCTTGGGAGTATGCTCATCCAGTCTACATGTGTTTTGTGGACTTGGAGAAGGCGTATGACCGGGTCCCCCGAGAGATACTGTGGGAGGTGCTGCGGGAGTACGGGGTGAGGGGGTCCTTGCTTGGGGCCATCCAATCCTTGTACGCCCAAAGCGAGAGCTGTGTTCGGGTGCTCGGCAGTAAGTCGAAGGCGTTTCCGGTGGGGGTTGGCCTTCGCCAGGGCTGCGCCTTGTCACCAATCTTGTTTGTGGTTTTCATTGACAGGATATTGAGGCGTAGTCGGGGGGAGGAGGGTCTACAGTTCGGGGGGCTGCTGATCTCATCGCTGCTTTTTGCAGATGATGTGGTCCTGATGGCATCTTCCGTCTGTGACCTTCAACTCTCACTGGAGTGTTTTGCAGTCGAGTGTGAAGCGGTCGGGATGAGGATTAGCACCTCTAAATCTGAGGCCAATGTTCTCAGCAGGAAACCGATGGATTGCCTACTCCAGGTAGGGAATGTGTCCTTACCCCAAGTGAAGGAGTTCAAGTACCTCGGGGTCTTGTTCACCAGTGAGGGGAAGATGGAGTGTGAGTTTGCCCGGAGAATCGGAGCAGCGGGGGCGGTATTGCACTCGCTTTACCACACCGTTGTGACGAAAAGAGAGCTGAGCCGGAAGGCAAAGCTCTCGATCTACCGGTCAATCTTCGTTCCTACCCTCACCTATGTCATGATGGATGGGTCATGACCGAAAGAACTAGGTCACGGGTACAAGCGGCCGAAATGGGTTTCCTCAGGACAGTGGCTGGCGTCTCCCTTAGGGATTGGGTGAGAAGCTCAGCCATTCGAGAGGAGCTTGGAGTAGAGCCGCTGCTCCTTTGCGTCGAAAGGAGCCAGTTGAGGTGGTTTGGGCATCTGGTGAGGATGCCCCCTGGGCGCCTCCCTAGGGAGGTGTTCCAGGCACGGCCAGCTGGGAAGAGGCCCGGGGAAGACCCAGGACTCGGTGGAGAGATTACATCTCTGCACTGGCCTGGGAACGCCTTGGATCCCCAGTCAGAGCTGGTAGATGTGGGAAAGGGAAGTTTGGGGTCCCCTGCTGGAGCTGTTGCCCCCGCGACCCGACCCCGGATAAGCGGTTGAAAATGGATGGATGGATGGACTCCCCTTCATACTGCACATGTCACATTAAGTGTTATTTCTCACTTTGTCACTTGTTCGCTAGTGCACTTTATGCTTAATATTTTTTAACTTTTTAATATTTTAAATTTTTAACTTTTTTATCTTGTTTTATACTAACCAATAGCCTTATTCTACTAACCCATTGCATTAGCAATTCATTTGACTTTATTTTATTACTTGTGCACTGCTGTCTTGTTGTCTATTGTTACACTGTCTGCTGTCACGCACCAACCGCCAAGACAAATTCCTTGAATGTTTGACATATTTTGGCAATATATGTTTCCTGATTCCTGATTAACGGCATTTCTTCGTACGTCACTGTGACGTCACTATAACCGTCAGAAAAGAACATCCGCTTTAATCCAGCTGTGTCCAGATGTGATCCAGATGTTTGGAAGGATCGTAGACCAAAGGTCCTCAACCACCGGCCCGCGGACCAGAAAGAATCATTTAGGTTTATTTTTCTCATTTTTTTTTTTCTGAAATGCTTTATTGTGAAAATCGACCGGATTCTCTCCTAATTACGTGCGCTCGTCCCTCTTGACACATTTAATCATCACCAAGCGTTTTGTTTCCGCGCACAGCGGACAGAAAGACAGTTTGTTATGAAGGTAAAAGGTTTAACACGCAGCTTCAGACTGATACGAGTAAGTTGTTCCGCCCAAACAGGTTCAACCAGATCCTCAAAGTGGAGAGAAGAATAAAAACACTCTGACTCTGTTGTCTTAGTGGATGTTTTTATTCAACATAAACTCTTCACCACATTTGTTACAAAGGTTTCTGCTTCATCACGTGTTCCCTACTAGTCGAGGACCTTTGACCTTTGTGAACACGGCTTACACTGACACTCAGTCAACCAGTCAGACCGCATACTTTGATGGTGACGTGAGGACACACCCTCTCTGATGAAGGACAACAAGCTCCAACAAACTGCTTCGCTTCACTCCGTCTGACAGAAGCTGAAGTGAAGCACGGAGCTCCTTTTCTACACGGACCTGCTGAGGACAGAAGAGAGCTTCTCACTGAGGAAGTTCATGTCTACAAGCTAAGTAAGTGCAGCTGTGATTGGTTGAATGATCATTGATGGTTGTGAACGTGTGATTGTTTAAAGCTGGGAAACAAGATGGCGCCTGTGTGAGCAGGCAGAGAGGAGCTGCTGTTGGTCTGACTGATGAAGAAGAGGAGCTCAGTCTGATCTGGGGTCTGTGAGGACTGTTACTGATGAGGAGGGGAAGGTAGCAGACAGAGGGGCACTAGGACCCAGCAGGGACCACAGAGCTCACCTGGGCCTTTGTTCCTGAAACACACCTGAGAGACGCTCTGTTTGTCTCACCTGCTGCTTCAGTCCTTTAAGTCCACAAAGCTTCATGTTCATTTCTTCATCTGCTTTAAACACATTTAGTCACTTTTAGAGTGTAAAGACAAGGCTTCCCCGTGTTACCATGGTAACCACAGTGTGTCCTCTTACTGGACAGTGTCTCATGAGAGTTTTAGTGTTGAGGTGAATGAGCTCTGTGTGTTTGTCCTGATGAAGATCATAATGTGTGAGTTCTCCCAGCAGGTGGTTGTGAAGGTGTGGACTCTGCTATGAATCAGGCTGAGGACCCAGAGGACGGAGTCCGTCCCTCTGAAGCTCCTCTGTGTGGAGAACATGACAGCAGGACCAAAGCTCAGAGGTGAGAGGACCATCTCCAACTGTCCTCCACTCGTCTCCATGTCCCAACGTCTTTGACTCACTGACTCTGCTTCTACATGTGTGACCAGGATCCATCAGAGACCAGGACCTGAACCTGCACCCAGCTGTGTGTCCATGAAGAGTAACCGGTCTATGAATCCTCCTATGAAATTCAAAGATAGTCCCTCTGTTGATGCAAGGTGAGGGTCTCAGGCTGATGATGAGGTGTTTCTACCAGACCCTCTGGTGAAGGTTCTGGGTTTCTTGGTCCAGGGCCCTTCAGCAGTGTCCAGTGAGGGAGGGAGAGCTCCATGGAGGACTTGGTGAGACCTGTTGGGACTAAACCAAACAGTGAGCTGAAAGACTGAGCTGTTGCTTCTCAGTGGGACCAGCAGGACCAGTAGACCTAAACCACTACAGGGAGCCATGTGGTCCACATCCAGACCTCACGTCATGGACCTTTACCTTGTTTTGGTCTCTGAGGACGGACACCATGTGAGCTGATGCTTCATGATTAGATGATGATGTGATGATGTAATCTCTGTGTTTCTTTCAGGTCACATCAGCAGAGAGGAAGGTCTCCTGAACCCAGATGTTTGTCCATGAAGAGTGATCGGTCTAATGATCGATCAATTAACTTCAAAGATGATCAGTCTCAAGGTCGATCAATTGACTTCAAAGATGGACGCCGTTCTTATGACCCAGAGTAAGTTCTTAAACAGATGAACTGTTTTGATCCTCAGTCATGAATCACAGAAATGGTCGTTCATTGTTTAAAGTGTTGTTTCCATGACGATCCATCATGACAGAAGTCATTATCTTCATCTAACTGGTCTGTGAGTGTTTAAGTGTGAATCATTAACTGTAAACATCCTCAGATGTAAACACAATGTGAGCTAGTTCCTCCACATCAGGATCAGCAGAGGTCACATCTGGAGACAGATGACTGGGACTGAACATGTGATTAGAATGAACTCAGTGCTCTGTGGACCAGCTGACGTGGTCTCTGGACTCAATGCAGAGGTTTGGACAAAGTATCGTCAGTAGACTCTGTGAAAAGGTCCAAAGACTAGTTTCAGAAGGTCTAAGGAGACTTCTAGAGGTCAGAGGACGGACTGAAGAGGTTTGGAGTAGTTCCATAAGACTTTGTACCAGATGCAGAGGTCTGCAGACGTTGTTCTTATAACAACTAAAAACAAATCAAACTGTCACTCAACTAATAAACTGTCCGTCATCATCGACAGTCTTCAGCATCTGGTTTTCATCAGGATCCATCATGACAGAAGCCAATATCTTTAACTAATGTTGTATTGGTGTTGATGGTCCAAACACCATGTGAGCTGATGGTTCATGTTCCTCCACAGAGAGGACCAGGAGAGCTCAGAGGTTCCCACAGGTCCGTCTGCCCAGCAGCATCAAACACACCTGCACTCCATCTTCATGGTGTGTACATGAACAACTACTTTTACATCTCAGTTCACCATCATCTCCATGCTGCACTTTGTAGACCAGTGGATTGTCCGTCTGTCCAACATGGACCTGATGGTGGCTTCCATGTTCTAGTTGTCATTCATAGAATGTTCTGTTCCAGCTGCTGGAGGAGAACATCCTCACTTTTGTGAAGAACGACCTGAAGAAGATCCAGAAGGTTGTGAGTTCAGATTACCGAGAATGCTTAGAGGAGGAGGATGAGGAGGTGCTGGATGAAGAGCAGAGGAGGTTCAGAGAGGCATTTGAGAAGATCTCAGTGCACTTCCTGAGGAGAATGAAGCAGGAGGAGCTGGCTGAGCGTCTGCAGAGCAGTAAGAGGATTTCTCTACAGATGCTGATGAATGAGACCTTCACTAATGTCTCAAGAGATGGACAGAATATATTCATAGTCATTCTCTGAGGAGAGGACATGTTGAAATCTATTCTTTGACTCATTGATCTTCTTTGTTGTCTTCATTCAGGACTTCATGCTGCAGTTTGTCAGCGTGAACTCAAATCCAACCTGAAGAAGAAGTTCCAGTGTGTGTTTGAGGGGATCGCTAAAGCAGGAAACACAACCCTTCTGAATGAGATCTACACAGAGCTCTACATCACAGAGGGAGGGACTGCAGAGGTCAATCAAGAACATGAGGTCAGACAGATTGAAACAGCATCCAGAAGACCAGCCAGACCAGAAACAACCATCAGACAAGAAAACCTCCTCAATGCCTCAGCTGGAGGGGAGGAACCAATCAGAACCGTGATGACTAAGGGAGTGGCTGGCATTGGGAAAACAGTCTTAACACAGAAGTTCACTCTGGGCTGGGCTGAAGACAAAGACCACCAGGACATACAGTTCACATTTCCATTCACCTTCAGAGAGCTGAATGTGCTGAGAGAGAAGAAGTTCAGCTTGGTGGGACTTGTTCATCACTTCTTCAGTGAAACCAGAGCAGCAGGAATCTGCAGGCTTGAAGAGTTCCAGGTTGTTTTCATCTTTGACGGTCTGGATGAGTGTCGACTTCCTCTGGACTTCCACAACAATGAGATCCTGACTGATGTCACAGAGATCTCCTCAGTCGATGTGCTCCTCACAAACCTCATCAGGGGGAAGCTGCTTCCCTCTGCTCGCCTCTGGATCACCACACGACCTGCAGCAGCCAATCAGATCCCTCCTGAGTGCGTTGGCATGGTGACAGAGGTCAGAGGGTTCACTGACCCCCAGAAGGAGGAGTACTTCAGGAAGAGGTTCAGAGATGATGAGGAGCAGGCCAGCAGCATCATCTCTCACATCAAGACGTCACGAAGCCTCCACATCATGTGCCACATCCCAGTCTTCTGCTGGATCACTGCTACAGTTCTGGAGGAGGTGTTGAAGACCAGAGAGGGAGGAGAGCTGCCCAAGACCCTGACTGAGATGTACATCCACTTCCTGGTGGTTCAGTCCAAAGTGAAGAAGGTCAAGTACGATGGAGGAGCTGAGACGGATCCTCACTGGAGTCCAGAGAGCAGGAAGATGATCGAGTCTCTGGGAAAACTGGCCTTTGATCAGCTGCAGAAAGGCAACCTGATCTTCTATGAATCCGACCTGACAGAGTGTGGCATCGATATCAGAGCAGCCTCCGTGTACTCAGGAGTGTTCACTCAGATCTTCAGAGAGGAGAGAGGACTGTACCAGGACAAGGTCTTCTGCTTCGTCCATCTGAGTGTTCAGGAGTTTCTGGCTGCTCTTCATGTCCATCTGACCTTCTTCAGCTCTGGTGTCAATCTGCTGTCAGGAGAACAAAGAACCTCCCGCCGGTCTAAACGCTCTAAACCCAATCCTAAACCAAAGCGTCTCTACCAGAGTGCTGTGGACGAGGCCTTACTGAGTCTTAATGGACACCTGGACTTATTTCTCCGCTTCCTCCTGGGTCTTTCCCTGGAGACCAATCAGACTCTCCTCCGAGGTCTGCTGACACAGAGAGGAAGTGGCTCACAGACCAATGAGGAGACAGTCCAGTACATCAAGAAGAAGATCAGTGAGAAGGTGTCTCCAGAGAAAAGCATCAATCTGTTCCACTGTCTGAATGAACTGGATGATGATTCCTTAGTGGAGGAGATCCAATGGTCCCTTAGTTCAGGACGTCTCTCCACAGATAAACTGTCTCCTGCTGAGTGGTCAGCTCTGGCCTTCATCTTACTGTCATCAGAAGATCTGGAGGTGTTTGACCTGAAGAAATACTCTGCTTCAGAGGAGGCTCTTCTGAGGCTGCTGCCGGTGGTCAAAGCCTCCAACAAAGTTCTGTAAGTACAGAGAGTTAGATTCATACATCAGGACTTAAACACGCTGCCGTCTTTTCTACTTAATGTTCAGATTTTCTTAGTTTTCTTTCTTTAAAACAAGTCAGAGGGCAGAGAATCTTAACGTTGTATTTAGCTCTTACAAACAGCAGTAAATATCTCTGCCTGGTCCTGATGTCAATACTATCGTACTTCCTGTCAACAACAGAGAACTATGAATTTATTTCTCTTGTTTAAAGTAAAACAAAAGAATTGTGAACACATTTTCTTTGCTCTTAATGATGTATTTTAGTCCAGACTCCTCATCAAATAGGATTTCATTTTAGCATAAATAATATCTTTCTTCTTGTTGTTTGTTGTCTCTGTTCAGACTGAGTGGCTGTGACCTCTCAGAGAGAAGCTGTGAAGTTCTGTCCTCAGTCCTCAGCTCTCAGTCCTCTAGTCTGAGAGAGCTGTACCTGAGTAACAACCACCTGCAGGATTCAGGAGTGAAGCTGCTGTCTGCTGGACTTGAGAGTCCACACTGTGACCTGGAGACTCTCAGGTCAGATTAAGTTAATGTGTCCTTAATGATGTGTTTATGCTTTGTAACCAGAGGAACTAATTTTAGAGACAAAACTTGGGTCTAAAAGCCCTTTTTGTGAATGTATGTACGTTTCCATTACATCATAAGAACCTCGTAGACAATAAATATTTACTACACAGCAGCTTGAAAATAGAACGTCTGAAACGCAATGTTCTTTCACAATAAAACATCACATGTTCATCCTGTTGTTCCTGTAATTCAGGCTTTGTGATGTCCTGTTTCATATAATGAATGAATGAAAAGTAGAGGTGGGAAAGAGACTGAAGATCTTAATGTGTGTCTCTACAGTGATGATCTGCTGAGTGATGGTTGATTATTTCTGATTTGATGAAGATTCATTCCTCATTTACACTCACTTTGTTCTCTCTATCTTTCTTTGAAAGGAGTCAGATGGAGGATAGAGAAGCCTAACTTTGTATTTAACTAATAAACAACATGAAATATCCCTGCCTCATCCGGATATTGATACCACAGTAATTCCTGTAAACAGTAGAGCACAATAAACATCCTTGTTTAATGTAGAACAAAATCATCATAAACACTTTCACTGAACATGTTTTCCTTTTTGTTCTTACTGATCGTATTCTAGTCCAAACTCATCAGAGGATTTAATGTGAATACAAATGTTATTTTGTTTGTTGTCTCTTCAGACTGAGTGGCTGTAACCTCTCAGAGAGAAGCTGTGAAGTTCTGTCCTCAGTCCTCAGCTCTCAGTCCTCTTGTCTGAGAGAGCTGGACCTGAGTAACAACCACCTGCAGGATTCAGGAGTGAAGATCTTGTCTGCTGGATTGAAGAGTCCACACTGTGACCTGGAGACTCTCAGGTCAGGATTCAATCAATGTCCACTTGGTGTCTTTATTTAATCCAATGGTAATGGATTTGTAACCTTCATAAGATTCTTTCTGCTTGATTTAAATCAAATTTGTATTTTCCACATATTTCCATAAACATGCAGAGATTAATTCCAATCTTCAATATTGTTGCACATTTAAATATTGGAGATCAATCGTAAAGAGCAGTAATGTTATGAGATTGCTGATGGACATTAGTGGGTGTTTAGTTGTGACTGGAAACCAGTCAGTAACCATGTTAATGTGACCCCTCAGTACCTGATAGTAAACCAGTCCTGCAGTGCCCCTCCAGCCCCTCAGATCATGTGACATGTGTGCTGTGTTGTGTGTTTCAGGCTGTCAGGCTGTCTGATCACAGAGGAAGGCTGTTCTTCTCTGGCCTCGGCTCTGAGCTCCAACCCCTCCCATCTGAGAGAGCTGGACCTGAGCTACAATCATCCAGGAGACTCAGGAGTGAAGCTGCTGTCTGCTGGACTGGAGGATCCTCACTGGAGACTGGAGACTCTCAGGTATGAAGAGGCTGCAGCCACAGACCATCAGTCTGTAGAGGAGCTGGAAACCTTTTCTCTGTCCCACTGTCAGCCTGGTTAATAAGACCCTGACACACCAAGCTGACCTCAAACCACCAGAGACTCATCCAACTGTTTGTGTCCCACATGAGACCATCAACACAGACAGAAGTAGTGAGGATCAGTAGCCAGGATGAGCCTGAACAGGGAGGAAGGTGATGAAAGGCTTGTTGTTATAAGAGAGGACAGTGTCTCCTGACACGCTGACGCCATCATGGTGGGTTGATACGAGTCAACGTGGTCACGCTGCAGGTTTTTGGGCTCTTATCAAACAACACTATGCAGCTCGTCATCTGCCTCCAGTGTGTGTTTGTCCTTTAGTCCAGACATTACTATTAAGAGACAAACAGTCAGAAACAGTTCAAAGCGTCTTGATGGATCATCACAGGAGGAACGTTTGGTGTTTTAAAGGAGTTCAGCTTCTCCTGGTTTTGGTGCTTTGCACTGAGAGACGGTTCCCTGGATGATCAGAGTGGACTTGTTGAAGCTACAGGTGACAGTCGGCCACAGACGCTCAGTGAAGAACCAACAGCTGATGGTGGACCTGGTGTCCGTTTCAAGTAGGAGGTTTAACAAACTAAACTCTGAGTTTCTGGGTTCAGAACAGCTGTTGGTTCAATCAAGTCGAGTAGGTTGACTCAGAGTTGAGCGCGTGCAGCATCACAGTATGAAGGCAGCATGAATGGATCCATGATGCTACGAGTTACCATGACAACCACCACAAACAATATATTCAGCCCTATTGAGCTGCACATATTAATGCAAGCCAACGAGTATGAACCCGTAATTAGACAGAAAAGCAACACGCTGCTGCAGCAAAACACAGAGAAACGTAAGTAAGTTCCAATATAGTGTCAGTTGACATTATTAAGACACAGAAAAACTCTCACGGCATCTCAGGTGTCACCGGTACGGAGACGTTGAGACCAGCGGGTCATTTCACAGAAGACTCCCTGAGAACCGGCTGAGAAGAGTCTGATGGTCCCGTTAACTAAACCTCACATCTCCCACATCCAGCAAATCGATACCGAGGCTGAATGTCGACAAACCGACCGCAGAAATGTGGATTAGACTTAAATATAACGTTAGTAGTATTTAGAAACTGTGACCCTCTGGCATCCTTCACTGTTGCTGAGGTGAAATGCATTCTGGGATATTTGAACAGAGGAGCATGCTCCGATGCATTCTGGGTCAAATGGGTGGGGCGAGTCACATCTGGGTATTATGACGGTTCTCGGCCAGATGTGGACTTTAGAATTGGAACAGGACTCGGGCTGCGACTGATGACGTCTCACGAGGACAAAATGACACGTTGAGAAAGGACAAGATGTTCTCCTCAGGAGATGCTGGAGACCGAAGAGAGACAATAGTGGACTTGGTCCATCAGGTGACACAGAGACTCCTGAGGAACCTTCATGTTGACGTGAACCTGCTGGATGTGGAAGCAGCTGCTTGATCTCATGTTACAGAACTACTGTAGAAGACGATCACATGTCACATGTTGTGTTCACAGCTTGTTGTCACTGAACCACAAGTGGACAAAGAAACCACCTGATGAGGTTTAAACATTTATTCACTGACTGCTGAAGGAAACTGAGTGTGAAATAGAAGCTGACGGTCAGAATGATGCTGACAATAATAATAATAACAGATGAATGAGTGAACGTGATGAGCTGTGGTCATCGGCCAATCACAAGAAGAAGAGGTGGTCCATGTGGACATGAAGGACAAAGCTGTGTGTGATGTAATGTCCATGTCTCCATGCTGCTCTGACCCCCCTCCTCCTTTCAGGGTGGAGCCTGATGGAGTCCGATGGCTGAGACCAGGTCTGAGGAAGTGTAAGTGTGCTTTGATTCATGAAGATTCAACCATCTTCACACTGTGACATCACTCATTCACCTCTGTGATGTCATCATCAACGTGTCAGTAGATGAACACATGATTAATAACTGCAGCTGTATTGTGTCTTGTTCACTCATCAGATTCCTGTGAACTCACAATCGACACAAACACAGTAAACAAACAACTCAAACTGTCTGACAACAATAGGAAGGTGACAGATATGATAGAGGATCAGTCGTATCCTGATCATCCAGACAGATTTGACTGCTGGCCTCAGCTGCTGTGTAGAACTGGTCTGACTGGTCGCTGTTACTGGGAGGTCGAGTGGAGAGGAGACGTTGATGTATCAGTGAGTTACAAAGGAATCAGGAGGAAAGTAAACAGTGAAGACTGTTGGTTTGGATCCAATGATCAGTCCTGGAGTCTGAGCTGCTCTGATGGAGGTTACTATGTCTATCACAAGAAGACAGCAACACACATCACCTCCTCCACCTCCTCCTCCTCCTCTGGTAGAGTAGCAGTGTATGTGGACTGTCCTGCTGGCTTTCTGTCCTTCTACAGAGTCTCCTCTGACACACTGATCCACCTCCACACCTTCAGCACCACATTCACTGAACCTCTTTATCCTGGGTTTGGGTTTGATCTCTGGTATGGTTTTGGTTCCTGTTTTGGTTCCTCAGTGTCTCTGTGTTCTCTGCAGGAGGGAGAGTCTCCTCCTGGTGGAGAACCTTCCTCTCTGCTCACCACATAGTTCAGTCTGTGCAGCTGATGGTGGTTCATGTGGGTGTAGATGCAGGTGGAGCAGGTGAGGGGTACCTGAGCTGGTCTGGACTCTGGGGGGTCCACAGCTCTCTGGGACTTGTGGTGTTGCAGATGGAATCAATAATTATCATTTAGATGTTTAATCTTCATCTTTATGTGTCACAATGTTCAAGTAGACGTTTGATAAACGACAAATAAGGAAAATATGAATAATTATTTTGGCAGATTTCAACTTCAAATGTTTAATGAGATAATATCAGGTGCTTCTGTTTCTAACAGTATATTTAGTCCCTCCATGTATTACTTTGCTGACATACTTGTATGATTAAAGTCTTATTGCAGCAGGAAATTAATAATAAAAGTGAAACAATCGTCTCAAAAGTGACTTGATTATTTAGTTCTTTTCTGCATTTTAAAGTTTGTTTTCCTACTTCAACTATTAAGTTATAACACGTTTATACATCAATGTGTCGTAAACACTTATCAGAACAAACAAAGACGACATCAAATCAAACTTTATTTCCTGCACATTTAAAAAACAAAATGAAAGCAGAAGCTCGTTTCCTCTGGATGGAATGAATCCATCAACGCTGTGTCTCCCACAGAGGAAACGAGCAGATAAAACCAGTCACATGATCCCTGTGTGTTTAAAGTCTCTCAGTGGAACGAGTCCCCACTCGTCCCGTCTTCATCCGTCCTCTGTGGACCGTCGCCATGGCGACCGTCACTCATCCGAGCCGGCTGAGCGTTTCTGGTTCCTCTTGCGAGGAGATCTTCTAGGAGACGCTTTGTCTGGAGAGAAGAAGAGAAGAGAAGTCACCTCCGTGATGAAGATGTTTCATTCTGTTTAAACGGAGGCTGAAGACGTTTTGCTGCGTGTTGTTCATTAGTTATTTCATCTCTTAAGCAACACACACACACACACACACACACATCTCACCTCTGCGACTCTGCACTGGAGACGCAGGGAAACATGAGAGAGAAACAGTGAGTGACCCTCATGCAGAGTGGAGGTTAAAGGTCAAACAGGGAGAGAACAGCTGATTCTGCGAGAAAAACGGCAGCAGAGATGAAAGCGTCCGAGCAACAAAAGAATGTCACTTTATATCTTTATGTTCTCTACAAAACCTCTGAAGCCTTTTAGATGCTTTCAAATATTCATCATGAGGATCAACTTCCAGAAGAAGCAGAGAGACAGAAGGAGACAAAGGGAGAGACAGAAGGAGAGAGGAGCCCTACTGATCTGGTTGAGGGTCTCCTGAGGGATCCAGCTGAGGTCCACGTCGTTGTGGCTGGAGGTCCCCATCTCCACCTTTGGCGCTGGGCGTCTCCTCTGAGGACAAAGAGTCAGACGTGAGGACACAGATTCTGCTCGACGTCCAACTCTGAGCTGCTCAGAAACGATGACATCGTCGTCACGTGACCGACACAGATGCTGCGGCGTCTGACTGGAGTCCACATCTGTACCTTCCTGGACTCGATCAGCTGGTGAAGCCCGACGACGACCAGCAGCCCGAGGCCCGACAGGAAGACGTAGAGGAAGATGCTGCAGAGACGAGGAAGAGGAGTAAGTGAGGGAGCAGGACGTGAGACGGAGGTGAGGCGGCGTGGACGCTTACGTCTCTCCGTCCAGTCCGTCCTCGCGCTCCGTGATGGTGACCGTCTGGTTGAACACGGCGTCCTGGAAGATGTTCCCCTACGAGAAGACAACTTTTACTCATTAGAGACTTTCAGGGACGAGTGAGGACGCCTCGGGACGCCGATGTGCGCTCTGGTTACTCCGATGAAAACGAATCCCTTCTGTGGGCGTCAGAGACTCGAGAAACCAATCAAATCTATCCCCATGGGGGGGCGGGGCTTACGTTGGCGTCCTTGTAGTTGAGGTTGATGACCAGGCCGAAGGGCCGCCCCCCCATGGGCTCGGCGGGGATGAAGGAGTACTCGAAGGTGGCCTGCCGGCTGGCGGGAACCTCGATGCCGAGCTGCAGCGCCGTGAAGTTCTGGATGTAGAACTGGTAATCCTAAAGGGAAGGGGGCGGGGCCAGAGAGGAGCGCCGATTACATCATCGTGAGAAATAATAACGACTACTTTCGCTTTGCTCGAGTCATCTACAGTAGTTTTCTCTTTAAAAAGGGAATAAAACATTGATACATTTAGAAATTGTATCAATTATTCATGTCGTCTTTTTAATGCTGTAAAGTTCTTATAGTTTAAGAAGCTTAACGCATAATAATTCATATCTGCCATTTTATATTAAAAGGAAAAGTTTATCACTAAAACTACATTTTACATATTACCCATGAACACATCGCCGTACAGTTGTAATGGTCCCTGAACGCATCACGGAGAGGTTAAAGGTCGTGGTACCTGTGGGTAACGGAAGGAGGCGTCCAGAGACTCCACCACGAAGTTCTCCGGTCCTTTGTTGGAGAAACCGAGCAGGAACTTCACGATTTCGTTGGCAGGGAAGTCTGAAGGAGAAGAGGAGGAGGAGGAGGAGATGAAGAGTTCATTCTGCCGGTAAACAGCTGAAATATCGTCTTCTCTCCGGCGTCACACGGCTGCTTTGAATGAACGTGAATATGACTTTACTACCAAAGGACGGGATGTAAAATAAAATAAAGCTTCATTTGATCACTTGTTTCCTTTGCTTAAGGAGTTAAGGAAGCATGGAGGGACCTTACCGTCTCCTTTGACGAAGAGGATGGTGGTGTCTGCGTTGGGGGACGCCTTCACCTCTCCGACCGACGCCTCCTCCTCTTCCTCTTTTTCTTCCGTCTGTAAACAAACAAGTTTGTTTCAGCAGCAGCTTCGTCTTCATCATCAACATCTTCATCATCATCTTCATCAACGTGCTTCAAGTGAAACGTCATCAGCTTCACAAATGTGCAAACGAGCTGCCAGGAACAAGAAGAAGGAAAGAAGCTGAGGAGTGAGAATGACTCTCAGCGCCAGAGGAGTGAGATATCTAATCCGTCACCAGCTCCACGTTCTCGTCGTCCTCCACTTCCGCCTCGTCGTCCTCGTCTTCGTCCGCGGCCTCCGTCTCCTCGTCCTCCATCAGGTCCTGGGCGCTCGCCCCCGTCCCTGAAGGAGCGACGCTGCATTAAAGGAACCTCCGTAGAGACGCATCACGCAGGAGGGGGTTTGAATCTCTGGAGTGGGGATGGGGAGATTCACCGGTTCGCATCGATGCGTCGGCGTAAAAGCTCACGATGCGTCGGCCCGGATCAACAAAGTGTGCACCGGATACCTTGTGGGATGAATCGCGGTGCATCGTTTCTAACATTTTTGCATCGGTATAATCCGATGTATTTATACAGAATCGTGTGGAGGCGAACACCATTTAATATTTAGAAATGCGTCCAATGATTTGTGACCAATCGTTTCATACTTGGATAGACGCCTCCTCTCTGTTTCTAAGCGCGCTCGTCTCCTCTGCTGTCAGTGGGCGATTCTCGTGAAGTCTGGAGTTGGAGGAGAGCGCGTGGGAGAGCGTTACCATGGCGGATGGAGAGGTAGACGTCCCGAAAACTTGCAATGAATCCAAGGTTTGGCAACACTTTGGATTTCCAAAGAAAGACGGGAAAGTGGATAAAATAAAATACGTCGCGCTGCCATAAAGTACAGCTGATTTAGGGACGCACCTGAAGAGGCGACGCGCTGAGACGTCTGCCTCCTCCTCAGATTCAGGTGTGGCTACAGTGGCGAGCTCTACCAGTACACCTGCCGAGCACACTGAGAAACGTATCGCCACTTTCTTTCATGCCGCTGGCTACCGACTCAGCTCGATCACAGGCAATAAGCGCAGCCGTTGCCTTATTTATCTGTAAAGATATACAGCCTCACAGTGCTGGTGAAAACGAGGGCTTCCAATACCTCCTCAACATACTGGAGCCGAGGTTCCACATTCCAGGTAGAAACAAATCCCTCGTCTGTACGAGAAAGTAAAACGAGAGAAGAATCGTTGAGTTGCAATAACAGCTGATGGTTGGACGTCTTGCGCCACTGACTCGCACGTCACCGAGCACGTTTCATTTGTGTGAAGATGTGAAGATGTTTCCCGTGGATTAAGTTTGATGACGGTTGTTCCATTCGTGAGTAGTTTGGAATAAATGGTCGACAGTATGAGCACATGCCCAAAAAGGACGTCAGCTGTTTTTTGGTGTTGGGTTTCGGTATTGATACGATCGCGGTTCACTTCCCTGTTTTGGAGAGGCAGCAGTAGTCGTCCCTTCACACGTGAGCTCTCCATCATCTGTTTTCTCTCCATCATTCACATCCCGTTTCCCATTGTGCCAGACGTGTCTGGGTTTCCTCCATTATTTCCACTTTCACTTTGACCTTATTACCACTTTTAAATCCTTTAACCTTCCAAATCCCCTCTTAACGTTTTAAGTTTAGCGGCACTCAACGAGCCGTTTTCTGGAAACCCAAACTCTTTTGTCCAGTATGGGCGACACTCTGTACGTGTTCTCCCGTATTTCTGCTGCATCATTGCCACAATCGGACCCGACGGTTCCGTGTGTTTGGCGGACTGGCCACCCATCTTTTACTGGTGGACCCTACCGGTTTACTTATTACAATACAGCCGTCAGCGTGAGGCGGAGTTTCTTTACTCAAGGAAAAACTTTGCAAAAACTCACGCTTGGATTTTGCCACGATCTTGTTCTAAAGGTGATTCAGTAGAACTCACGTCTGGTTAACAAGAACAGTGATATCGTTTTACCTGCTTCAGCAGGAAATTCACGTATAGGCTATTTCCACGGTTCACGTTTGGTCAACAGCAACGGTCTTATTTTACCCGGGTAGTCAAGTGATCTGCGTCACGATCTCGGAGAACTTGTTCCGAGTGAAATCTCTATCGTACACGATCCGATCTACCTTCACATAAAATGATGCATTAGAAATATCCCGGAGTCATGTACTCAAAAAAATAAATAATTCCCCGAACTATCACAACCACTTGATCAGTCATCTGTCTCTATGTTCAACTCTTACTGTGACTTTATAATCGGAATTTCAACTTCTTACCCGAGTTTGTAGAAATTAATTCTTTTTCGCTGGATACACGTGACGTCGATCAGGACTCCTCTGGTTTCCGCCCGTCCTTTCTCTCTTGTCTAAGGAGGTATGAGGCAGGATCATCAGCTGGTGATCCTGGAAAAGGCCTTTTTCCCCGGACGGTCCCCCAGAGCCCGACGGACGGTCAGTGAATCCTGTTCGTGACGCCAAATTGTTGTGGAATATGTCAATAAAAGCTCGGTAGAAGAGAATGATTTGTCTGATAAAACAGAGTCTTGATGGATGATCAAAGTTGCAAAAAGTCCATTTATTGCTTGCAAGCAGGAGGTCAAATACACAGGCACGTATCACGGTGCTCGGTGGAGATGACGTCTCCGAGCAGTAAGAACGCTGAGTTTTTATACACATGTGAAGGACATTCTCCGTGCCAGTTACGAGAAGCTGCAGGTTGAGATAAGAACCCAGGAGCTTGAGATCCCTCCTCCCTCCCAGGTCGTGACCCGGAAGTCCAAAGAGACCGCTGGGAGCCAACGCTATGGTAATGGTAAATGGTAAATGGACTGTACTTGTATGGCGCTTTTCTAGTCTTCTGACCACTCAAAGCGCTTTAACACCACATGACATCATTCACCCATTGACACCCTGATGACAGGAGAACCACACACAGTGACACCTGCCCATCAGTCACTAACATCCACACACTGTAGTCCAGGTGTCACCAGGTCGCCCGCAAGGACCATATGAGGCGCCGCAGGCCTGTTCTAAAAATAGCACAACTCACCACTAGTGAGCGTCTAAATCTTTTTAAATTAATTTTAAAATACATTTTTTTTAATCACACTTTCATTTATATGTATATGAAAATGACAAGATATTTAAAATAGAATAATTAAAAATGTGTGTATAATACATAAAAGTTTGGGTAATTTAGTTGAACTCTGACCTATTCTAGTTCAATGGTGAGTGCGCGAGCAGCAATGATGCGGAGCCGAACGCACATTCTTACCCCGAAAACATGGCAGAAAAAAGGAAGAGAACGTATCATTTTCACAGCGAATGGGAGGAAGGATTCTTCTTTACGAGTGTGAAAGAAAACTGCGTTCGTCTCATTTGCGGCGCGACGGCAAAGCGGCACAATGCGGAGAGACGCTACACGCGAAAGCTAGCAAGCTAACTGCCCCGCGGGAGATAAACGCGGCTTCAGGGAAAGCAGCAGTCTTTTTTCACGAAGCCGCCAAAGAAACTCCCCAAAAAGCACCCGAAGCCTCGTTTAGAGCTGCACGTCTCCTGGTGAAGAAGAAGAAGAAGAAGGCAGCTGTCAGTCGTTGTCCGGACGGTGTTTGAAGGTTTCCCCACTAAAGAAGAACTCCTGCGCTCACAGGAGGGTTAGGGTTAGGGTTAGGGTTAGGGTCAGGGTTAGGGTCAGGGTTAGGGTTAGGGTACTCTGCCTACGAGGGCAGTTGATGTTGACAACGCGGGGAGGCAGTTTTTCGTACAGGAAAAGGTGCCGCTGGAGGAGCTGGTAGCGGTGGCTACAGACGGAGCTCCTGCTGTGATCGGCCGACTTCCCCACCGCGTCATCCACCAGCAGGCGTCATGTGCAAAAGTGCTCGGCTCGGAGCACGTGGTGACGAAACAGCAGCGGATATTCAAGGTGCCGTTGGAGGAGATGTCAGCAGAATACGGGGACCTGTTGCTGCGCACAGAAATCCGATGGCTGAGCAGAGCACGAGTTTTGCGTCGTTTTCTGCCACTTTTGGGTGAAATCAAGGAGTTCAAGCAGTCCAAAGGGGAAGACGTCTCGCTGCTAGAGGACACAGAGTGGACACTTGACCTCGCATTTCTAACGGACATCACTGGGAAACTAAACCCACTTGAGCTGCGAGCTGCAAGGCAAAGGTGAGACTGTTGTTGAAGTGATAAGCGCTTTAAATGCATTTAAAGCAAGATGAACATTTTCTCTGTGCATTTATAGAGAAAAACAATGCTGCACGTTCCCTCTGTGCGATCGGTGCTGAAAGACATAAGATAAGTTGCAGAAAAGTACTGTCAAGTCATAAACAGACTTGGACAAGAGTTTGAGGATAGGTTTGGTGACCTCGATCAGCTTGAGCCATGTGTCTCATTCATCTCCAATCCTTTCATGAACAAGGACATAACTGACATTGCTGAGCAACTAAGTGCAACGTTCAACCTGGATGCTGCACAGGTGGAGATTGAAATTGTAACATTGCAGAATGACCTGCAGCTCAAAGCCCACCAGGCTGCACCAAACCTTTGGAGCCTTTTTGACACGGAAAAGCACAGTGGTGTAAGCACAGCCGCTATGAAGGTCGCCAGCCTGTTTGCTTCAAACCATCTCTGTGAATCAGCATTTTCTGACATGAACGTCATCAAGAACAAACACAGAACCCGCCTCACTGATGCAGACCTGCAAGACTCACTCAGAGTCGCAGTGTCCAGTTACACACAGACTACAATACACTGGTGAACAGCATGCAATGCCAGTCTTCCCACTAACAAAGAAACAGATACCAGGTGATGTCAGTTGCAAAGCTGAATCAAAACTAGATAGATAGATACTTTATTGATCCCTCAAGAGGGACATTTTAGAATCGGATACATTGTGTTCAATTTAATAGGGTTAGTGAAATGTAACAGATATCGTTTTGTAAAAATTCAGCAGACTTTGTCAATAGTTCAAAATGTAATTAGATGTATTTGAAAATATTGTAGGATATTAGAAACAAATTGACGATCCGGTTCATAAAATTAATAAAAATGCATATAGTGTACACCAGAATACAGCCATGATTCTGAAACTGTGTAATCAATAAAGTAATGTCAATATTGTAAAACCACTGTAATTCTGCAACTGTAATAGAATAATATCAATGCAGTTATGATTGTATTTGATGTAATGTGATCAACTGGAATGCATGCATGTAATACTTGAACAACAACTGATATTGACTAAGGATCATTCGAAATCCAAGTTACATTGAACTCACCAGAAGACTCCCAGAGGTGTGGACACTGACTTTCACTCCTTTAAGCATTGGTATAAATACCTGTAGGAACCATTGTTCTGGAGTTGGCTGGTGGAGGCGACAGACGGGCACTAGGGATGGTCAAAGGACTGACCTGGGGCCTGTTGGTCGCTGAGACCAGCGGCTCCTCAGCTGAGATGTTCTTTTTACCACAACGCCATCTCCTTTATTAA